TCTGGTGCTGCGCTTCTTCCTTTACCTCCCCTATCACAATAATCTTCATCCCTGAAGCAGATTGCTTCCTAACACTAATTTGTACCCTGTCGATGCGATTTTTAGGTTGAAATCTGGGACAGCCAGCACTGGGCAACCACTGGACACAGCATGGCAACAGCCTTCAGAGACTTCAGAAGTACAGGACTGTTGGAATTGCTTCACAATGCTGACGCTTCTACATTAGACTTTTGCAAACCAAAGGATCGATTGGGCGCAAAATCGAGCTTTCAAAATCCACTCATCGGATTCCATGCAGAAATCGCTTTTTTCGGCGTTTCTAATCTCCACAAAATTGTGAAATAAGTTTTGTTTGAGCTCCGCCAAAAAATGCATTTAAAACAAATTCATGCTAACAAACAAACCTGTAATCATTTCTCGATGAACGATCATAACTTTTACGATTGCGGCTGCTGTAACCACGATCACGATTACGAGGAATTGTTGCTGGTCGCAATCCTTAAAATATATTGCTGGCTAGAAAATAATTCACAAGGATCAAGTGCGTAATCTTCTAAAAACAAGAAAGAAATCCAGTCAAATTACCCGTGGGATCTTTTTCTTATAAATCAACTGCAAGGTTTTTACAAAAACGCATATGCTTGGGGGTTTGAAAAGTTGCTCATTAAAATTTGGAAAACCGTACAGTTTCAGAGCTTTATAACAATAGTTATTATTGTAACATAAAACAAATCTCCGGCCAAAAGTCTAGTGGTTTCCCACATTTGCTTTCTGTGAGAGGCGGAAGCACGCGGGAATTAGCCTTAGCAGTAATAATACGTCATCTTTTGCACGTTCTGGTTATGCCACCCAGTACCCGATTCAGCCTCTGCATTTCCAAATTCCATCTGCCCTCAGGGCCTAATCGGCTCGTAGGGTCTTCTTCTTACCTAATTATACTGCATCTAGGCAAATTTCTTCATAGCAGAGAAGAAACCAACCAACAGACAATAAATGGAGCAGAAAAGACGAAAAAAATGGCAGAGGGAAACGACTAATGTTCTATGTAAACGTAAATCGGTCGTTAGAAGGCCGAATCGTAACCTTAAAGAAGTGAACGGTCCAAAGAAATCAAAATGTGGAACGGCTGGAGTTGGAAAGTTAAAACGAAGGGTGGGATAAGGCTGTTAAAATAGGCCGTTGGTAGGCTGAGCCGTAGTCTTTAAAACAAACGGGCGGAGCAACGCATGAAAAATGTGGAACGGCCACAGTCCGAAAATTCTAACCTGGGGTGGGGTTAGTTTAATAAGTTATGATGGAAAAGATTGTAGGCCTGTTCACGTGGCAATAAATCGTATGACATGTTGAAAGGTCATGTGTTATTCCTCTCCACATGACCTGTGTTTACGGCTAAAGGATGAAACACAAGCAGACCATTCCCTACCTATTCCTCTCCACAGGAATATGTACGGAATAGTCTGCCTGTGTTTCATCCTTTAGCTGTAAACACAGACAGTATAAGGTGCGGTTAATTAACTGCCGAAACTGAGACAGGCGAAGAAGCTGGCAGTGGCAATGTAACAATAGTCCATGTGCGTCCATGCGAATGTATGAATCACTACAAAAGGCAGTACGAGCCTAAAAGGCCCTGTGAGGAAAAGAAGGGGCCGGAACAGCGGCCCAACAGCTAAGGGTATTAGACGGAGGAACCGCAAAATTCGTGCATGGAACAGGAGTGCAGGGGTGCGGCGGTAATCGCCCAAGGTCTGTGGTGATAATGAAAGAAAGAAAATAAAAGGGTCAGACTGTTGTGACGAATATTTTTTAAATAAGTCAAGGTGGAATTTAAAAGAAGTCATGTGAAGAGCTGTATGTAAAAAAGCCTACCTGTGTTTCATCCCCAAGCTGTAAACACAGACAGCACGAGACGTGATTAGGGGCGGGAATCATCAGTACAGCCCCTAACCACCATGTTTGAATGAACATGAAGATTGCTGAAACTAATATGCGCGAAGAAATGAGCAATACTGATGTACCTCTGAATCATAGGAACTATGTTGCAATCTCAGTTTCCCTTTTTCATTTTAGATACAAAGAATGACCCTAATCGGAGCAAGGAATGATGAAATCCATCATAGCTGCATTCCAAACCTCACTGCAGGGAATCGGATACTACTAGGGGGTTAAGTAAAAGTCTAGAAAACCCATTGGTTGTAAGCAAAAAGTGAAAATCAACATTCATTTCTATCAGGAATTCGATGGGCAACAATACTGAATGCAGCCGCATTTGTGACACTACCTTGACTCTGCTGATACGATACGTAGCGGCGTATGTCCCGAAACCATGTCATTTCAACTGGATAACCAAGAACATCACCATCTTTGTACCTAAAATTCAAAAGTAAATAGCAGAATGGAGGGACTGGACTCAAGTGTCTTGTATAAGAAAATATTTTACGTTGCAGTCTGTGTTTCATCCCTTAGCTGTAAACACAAATCGAATTTGGCATAAATCGAATTTGACACAAATCGAATTTGGCATAATTTTGGAAAATCGAATTTTGTCTGTGTTTCATCCCTTAGCTGTAAACACAAACCGAACATGGCATAAACCCAGTGAAACAACTAATCCGTTCTGTCGTTTTGAAAGTAACAGATGGTACTTGCAAATGAGCCCTCCATCAGCTTATTTTAAGCCCGAAACGAATGCCTGTATGGTAGCAATTGTTGGCACAGCAACCACTCGCTGGTTGATGTTGGCATTTGCTACCACTCAGGCTTCCACTTGCTAAACGTTTTTGCCTTTCACAAACATCAAGTACGGATCGTATTTTCACTTTGAAGTAAAAAACGGCACATGAAAATTTCGAAAATTTGATATTTTACCAAACATAACTCAATGTTTCTTGGTATATGAATATTTTTCTTAAATACAGTAAGCTTAAGCTTGGCCATACAGAGTTTCACCGATTGGAATTACATCATTCGGCCGATTGATCAAAAATTTTTCGTCAGATTTTGCAAGAATCGGACACTGTTTGCTACGGGCCGTCTACTTGTTTTAAAGACTACGGTTCGGCCTACCAATAGCCGCAAATTATTTTAGCAAACTTATCCCACCCTTAGTTTAAACTTTCTGGCTCCTGCCGCCAATTTTCGTTCCTTCGGATCGTCTGCTTGTTTTAAGGTTACGATTTGGCCTTCTAATGACCGCAATTTAATATTCGGTTCTAAGCACCACCAATCACACCCAAATCTAGTTAATGTGCAGTATTTTTTTGAAACTAGGACAGAACCACTTCATTTCAGCTCAGGACTACTAAAATTCCTGGGTGGGCAGCAATTACCCTGCTATGAGGCATATCAAGACAGTTTTAACGGTGCAGACAGCAGTCGCATATCCCAAACAAATCACTTTCTGCCTTTCTCCATCGAGATCACATTCTACTTTGTTGCAAAAGGAAGAAGGTGCTAGCAGCAAGGAAACGAAGATAGTGGCTAAACCCTCTTCGCCTTCCCCAACTGCCCGTCGGTCCCCTGTGATATACAAATGTCTCTTCTCTTGACTTGAGTTCCCCCCTCATGATATTTAATGTGATGATTAGAAATGAACTTGAAATTGTTTCTGTGTTCCAAAAAGTTGTGCGGCGGCAGTTTGGAGTTGCTGTCGGGTTATTTCCTGGTTTATTTCTTTGTTGATTTTTGCGCCTGTACTAATAAAGAATTGTTTGTGCGGTCTCCCGCAGCTGCCCAGGCCTTCTTCCTTCTCGTTACACCTCCCAGTGCTTCCCCTTCATCAACGAAGTTTCTTCGCGATTCCCTTGGTGGAAATAAACGTCGCTTCTTTTATCAAACTGCCGAAATCCCTTTTTCCTCTCCCCAATGTCCAATATTTCACTTTTCTCACAACCCAGATCACCGTTTCTACAAAGCACTGACAACCTGACATGTAAAACCCGCAAAGCCAAGCAAATTTCTGGCAGAAAGCCTGTATTTTCATGGTGCCCTAGGGGGCAAAAACGGTTTAAACAAACTTATGCATGCATTCTTTTGCCGCATCACGTGTCTCAAATCGTACGGCCACGAAAAGTTTCAGCTGATCCTGTGACAACTTGATAAAGTCGAATGAGCATGGGCCAACATGATCTTCAAAAAAATCCCTGAAACAAACAGATTACTGGGAAATTGCGCATCAAAAATCAGTGGAATAAAATATTTGAATTTTGAAGAGAGAGAAAAGAGAAAAGAAAAAAAAAAAAAAAGAAATATGTGCAAGAAAAAAAAAGAACAAGCAAGCAAAAAAAAAGAAGGCTGTTTTGCCTGATCAATTCAATCTTACCTTACTCCTCCAGATCGGTAATTTGTAACATTTAGAGTAATACTGCACCACCAACACTGCATAAACACAATGGTATTTTTGTGAAATCCCCAGGTATGTGAGTTGTAGTAGTAAACCGGCAAAAATTATTGTATGTGGTAATCACAATTTCAAAGGTGCCAAAAACAGTTGTTGGTGTGACGTATCCTCCACAAAACACAACAGAGTGTGTGTGAGCATGCTCCTTTATCGTCATCCACAAAGGCATGGAACGTGACAAGGTGTGTAGACACATACATAACA